GTTCTCATCTTGTTCTTTTCGTTTTTGTAGTGTTCTGTTTTGAACTTTTTTTTGTTATCTAAATAAATATTGTTGAAATCTTAGTTACTGTTGTGGATAGTGGAAGGAGTGCTCTGAAATTTCTGGGTTTGGATGGGGAAGAAAACTCTGCAGTCGGCATGGGTGTAAGAGAATTTAKTAAGTTGTAGGCAATATAAATGATTCATTGGAATTATTTTTTTAGTGATTTATTCTTTTCATCTGATATTAATTGCAGGGTTTGAAGTTGAATATGATAACCACTGATTATGCCTGGGATGACTGGATATGAGYTGCTCAAGAAAATCAAGGTTAATTAGATTCAATTCATACATATTCTTATAGCATTTCAACGGATTAATGCGAAAAATACTGAATTCAGTAATTACCTGTTTCCTTGATCTTTCTATGCAGGAATCTTCGACCTTCAAAAAGRTACCTATGGTGATTATGTCATCCAAAAATATCTTGTCTCGGATTGACAGGTATATTRATTAAATATATCATAACACTTTTTCCAGTAATCAAAATTGAAGTATATGAATAGAAACATGCTTGAAACACTGTCAAGTCCATTATAAAACAGAAAGTGTTCAAGATACATATGGGTGGGTATGGTCACTGGATTATTTGCTGGGACAATCACTAATCTCTGTTTAAAACAGTCGGAGAGAAGAATTCATTTAGTTTATTAGCTTCGACAGTTAGAAGGGGGCATTGGGAGATGTTAGCAGCTGGTTTAWGTTCTGTTTTGTCTAAAATGAGCAGGTGCTTGAGGAAGGGGAAGAGGAATTTATGTTCTGTAGCAGATCTGAATTGTTGATTAGTAGATGAGTCGCTATGTTAAATTAATTCTCTGGAAAAAAACGAAAATGAACAATCTGAAAGTGTTATAGAATGGTAGCTGGAAGTGCAAATCATGGTGCATTTACAAAGTATCATGGTATGATGGATACAAGGCTATCTTAATTAAACGCATTTATTCATATGCTTCTTATCTTCCATATTGTAGTCTCAGCAGAAAATATGGATTCTTCAAATTCCTGTACCAATATCCGAATTATGAGTTGACCTTACTTATGGTGAATCTGTTTTATTAGGTAGCTGAGGAGTCTAAAATTTCAGAGATGGATCAAGCTTCAACCGGAGAAGCTGAAATACTTGGAGTTTCTGTAGAGACGCTGAAAGACTTAGAGCTTCTGTAGAGACAGTGAAAGGGAGAGCTTGTTCAATTTAAAAATGAACATGCATTCAGAGATGCACTACATTATTTGAGAATTTGATTTTTTTTTAATCTTTGTATTTGAACAATTGCATTTTGTATTTGAATAAATTTTAGATATTATAATAAATAATCTTCCATTTAATAGATATTGTTTCAAATTGCATTTTTATATGAGGTTTGATGGATGGGATTTGCATTAAGCAGGACTCAAAGCAATACAAAATATAGTACAAAAGGTATAAACAAAAATATGGTAAACGACTATTAAAAAATTTCTAAGTCGGCAGTCTTATTGACCGCCATCATAACCATAAATAGGAACTAAGGCAGCGGTTAGAAACATCTAAGCCGGCGGTTTGAACCACCACCAAAAAATGGGAGGATTTTTGAGAAAAAGCTAAAGTGGCGGTCATTTAGAACCTATGCCGGCGGTCAAAACCACCGCCATGATACACGGCAGCTTTGATTGACTGCTGCTTTAGAGCAACATCAAAGGCAGCAATCATTTTAACCTAAGCCGGGGGTCCAGATCTAAGGCGACAACTTTTTAGGGGCGGACGCACGACCGCCGCCTTAGCCTTTTTTCTTGTAATGTGATTAAATTAAATCTGAGCATTTCATTTGTTGGATGATGCAAATTAGTATAAACGGATTTACAATATCAATGGTTTGATTGATTAGTGAATCGATAAATGGTTTAATTATTGGTGTTTTATTTGTTTTGATATTATTATTTTTTAAGCCATTTGTTGTAAGATTATAGATCAGTAAAATTTATTCCTTACATATATTCCAATATACTAACTACTTTCCAACTACTTCCGAGCAAATAACCAAGGGACTGGTTTCAATGCCACAACCATCCCAAAATTTTAGTTTTGTTTTCTCTCTCCTGTTGCACGTCTCACTGAACTAATTAATCAACACAAAGCGAACCGAAGAAAGGGTGCATTTGTCAATGGTCGTTCAAGACTTCAAGTCAAGTTTGCCCATTCAAAAAAAAAAGAAAAAAAAGACTTAAGTCAAGTCAATGACAGTGACTTGACAAATGGTTGTGCATTTGTCACAACCACATCTTCTATGAATAAGAATTTTGAATTCCAGCCCCCTCCCTACAACTAGCCCTCTCCCCCTATAAACCACATCCTGCCCGTGAATTTGGCATCAATTCACGGTCAGGATGCATTCCCCCTGTACTTTGGGCCTAATAAAAATGTTCTCAATGCATGATAGAATGTGCATGTGACACGCTTGTGAAGCGCTGAGTGTCAAGAGCAGATCCGGTCTCCCATTTCAAAGCACTTCACTTTATTGTTTCTTGTAGGTAGCTGGCTTGATTCAGCTAATTAAAGAAGCCACGTGAAGGACTGTATGAATGATCAAAATTGTCTCCCAAATTTCACTAAAAGTTGATTGTAATTTTCTTGGATGGATACAACTTCATAAAGCGAAGTGCGAATGCCTCATAGCCTTTCCTTCACAAATGATTAATGACTTACAGCTCTTACAAGTCAAGTCCAAAGGGGCAACTTTTATCGGGTCCTTGGCCGTTTCTCACGTTTGAAAATGAAAGCTGAACTTCCCCATATTTTTTGATTAATCTATGAATTCTCTTCTAGTGTGTTTTATTAAATTAAATATAAATAATAGAAATATATAAAAGTATACAATTATTTTGTATAATAATCAATAATTATTTATACTTTATATATTATTTTAGTACTTTTTTATAATACAAAAATAACAATAATTAATTTTATATAAGATTGTTTATTAAATTTAGGAATGGCAATTTTTTTCATTTCCCTAATTCCTATGTGGAACTGCCCCGAATGGGATGAGTGTAGGGATAATTTTCCCCTATTAGGGAAGAGATAGGAAAATTTTCATCCTCATTGGCAGGGATGATGCGAGGATAGAGAAAGCACTCCCTGCCTCATGTGGACCATGATTCCCACCCCATATGATCCCTGCTAATAAATACAAATATACATGCATACATTTATATATGTATATATGTACACATACGTCTATATGTTAATATTTTWAAAAATATGGTTGAATATGTTTGAATATTTTCTAATAGGAATGTAAATTTTAATTATTTTATTTTTATTTTTTAAATAAAACAAAAAACCATTGGATAGGTTATGATTCATTATATGGATGGCCAAACTATGTTAGATGGTTGGATAAATTTTCAAAAATTTCTTAATCCTTTAGGGAGTTGAATTCCCTATGTTTTGAAAAATTGCATCTTTCAATATTGGTCTTGCACTGAAATAGACCAAATTTTAAACCAATCAATGAAGGTGTATACTTGATGCAGATACCACAAACCTAGATCCCAAGGTGGAAGTTCACGCCCAAATTAGTCATAAAAACCAGCCTCCATTGAAAATGATGTAGTTTATTCCTAAAGTCAGTTCAACAACACAGTTTTCAGTAAAACTATAACCCAACTGCTTGGATCGAATTAGGAAAATTGAGCATGTTATCCCCTAAATTTTTCTTGAAAAATTAGAGGAAAAACTAATCTATATCAATCACAAATAACTGAGGTCGAATTAGGAAAAACTGGGAGACAAATGGGTGCAAAGAGAACTAGAAACTACAAAAATATAAAGCTATCTTGGATTGATCTACCCCCCCCCCCCCTGTTATATTCTCTTATGGAGTTATYTCCTAATCCAATTAGAAGACAATCCAAATCTAAATCAGATCTCGACTCTAATTAGAGATATATCTTATCTTCTTATAAGATTAGGTGCTCCATGCCTAGATTCGTCCCATGTCACATGACAATTTAATATTAGTTATGGGCCTTAGGCCCATCAGCTATAAAACTCCATGACCCAAGRGTGTTGTATGGCCAACTTAGGCCTGATTTGTATGGCGTGAGACCCCACAATGACATCACATAAATCCACATGGATTTGGCCCAACCTCCGTGAAAAGGCTTGGCCAAATTCACTGTACACAGTAAACCCAAATACTTAAACACATCACTATGGGCTCAATATGGGCCTGAAAATTACACTTAAATGATCCTTAAATTCAACCACCCTACGAAGATTCAAGGATAATGGACTTAAGTAATATAAAGTTCATTAGATAAACACCCCTTAATGGTCTCTTACACTTAACCTCTCGAACCATAATAATCAAACATTATCTAATAGAGAATGACCTCTCCCCTGGTTGCAAGGTATAGTGTCACACTCTCTACTCGAATGGATCCCGAGAATTAAAACATTTTGCAAACATTTTTCGTAAAATATAATAATAATTAAAATTTATTCAATAACTATTTCAAATATATTATTAATTGATTTAAAGTATTAATTTTAATATTTTTGTTATTTAAGATATCTAGTTGTTGAAATATTTAAATAATATTTCATTTTTAGTGTTAAATTTTTATTATTTGAATAACATTTAGATTGAATAATCTCAAAAATAAAATTTTATATTCTTTGTACATAATTTTGTGATGAATTTTGTAAAAATATATTAATATTAATAATATGAATATTATTAAATTGATTATAAATATTTTTTGTCTTTAATAAATATTTTAAAGTTATTATATAATTTTGTTAGAATATTTAAATAATTCTTAAACTCTTAATTGAAACTTTCTTTAGATAGATGTAGATAAAAAGTGGGAGAGAAGATAAGTAAGAATTAGAGATAATTTAGGAGAGAAACTCACTATTAAATAAGAGACATCTTAAGGGAAAATTGGGGATAATGGGTGAGGTTGTCTAGGAGAAATTTTTAGGATATTAGATTACTTAGGTTATTCGAACATTTAGGGGGAGAGAGAAAGAGAGAGATTTTAGGAATATTTTTTTTTTAGAAAATTAGAGTTTCTAATTGGTAGTTTCGAAAATGACAAGGATTAAAATATTCAAAAACTTTAAAAAAAGGAAAAAATTTCTAGACTTCCTTGTTTTAATATACATATATACGTATATACATTTTTCAAGGCATAGTTATTTTTCCTTTCTAGGTGCACTTGACTCGACTTCGGATCTCTTTCCGACAAGAACTCTACCACATCTATCCACAACACACTACCTAGTGCATTGGGAAGATTGGTGTGCTCCATGTGTAGTTGCAATCTGGATTCACTTGACTCGTTATAAAAATTAATCMATTTCATGTGTAATTTATAATTCCTCTAGGGAAAATTATTTGATAGTTTGTTTCTATATTAACATTTTAAGTGTCAAAGCTATAGCTTATGTAACTCTAAATGACCAACACCTTATAGGATGCATTATAATAGAGCCAATCTTCGAAACTACACCAATTGAATCTCTAACATAATAGCCTATTTGGCTTTATTCGATTTTCAATTGTCTTTTTTTTTTTTTAATTTTCTAAACCCTTTTGTTGTATGACAAAACAAAGCTATCAAATTAGGTGTCATTTGGAAAGTCTTTTTAGAAAAGATCTTCTAGAAGTCCAAATGGCTAAAAGACATATTGAGCTTTTGAGGTATTGTTTTTATAGACAATGATCGTTTGGAAAGTGACACAGTCTACCAGGCTTTCAAAAATGCATTTATAGGCAATATATCAGATAGAAAAACCAGAAAGCTTCATTTGAAGCTTTTTCAAAATTCAATGTTTTTTATCTTTTTTTATCTTTCTTTGAGAGCTTATTCTCATCTTTCTAGCTTTTGATTACCAAATGGAAAAGTTTTGAGCTTCCTTGAAGCCTAGAAATTCGAATGGAAAGATTTTCCAAGTATCGCCTTAGTAATTTACATGTAGGGAGTTGATTGGGTTATTACCCGATGTTTCGCTCATCAATTGATAGATTATTTTCTTTGGCCTCTCAATTGAGATCACATCAACACCCCATAAGGCATGCCCCATGGGTTTTCCACATGCACATCTATATATATATATATATACATACATATATATATATATATTATTTCATTTATATATTATTTATTATTTATAACATAATATATTATATATTTCTAGTGTTTCTATTATATATTAAAAAATCATTACATTGAACCAATGGAAAATCAAWCCG